CACAGCAATGAATAAAGGTCAGAGAAACCTGCATAAATCTAAAAACAAGCCAAGACTCAAAGGGGAGAAATTTATCAACTGTGTAAAAATTGGAGACGTAGTTAAGATTCATATGAAAAGAAATAGAACTGCAAGTAAATTTGATCTGAATTCCTCTGTCTGACCTGCAGAGCTTCGTGGAGAGGCTCTCCAACCACACCGGCTACCCTGTGTCCCGACTGGTCGGCAAAAAAATCTGGAGGGTTCACGACACTCTGACCTGTCAGGTTTGTTCCACTGAAAACATTTTATAGGTTTTAAAATTAAAGTTAAATTAAACTGAACAAAATGTTTCCCCACTTCAACCACAGGGATTTTCTGCAGCTGATCAGCACAAAGTTTTGCGTAAATGTCAAGTGGGAGACAAATTATACAAACTGGAGCTGGCAAGCGAAATTTTAGTGGTGGTGGCAGCATCATGCTGTGGGAAAATGAAAAATGAGAACAGATATCCACTGCTTTGTGTCCCAAAATACAAAAAAACAGAAATCAATTTGAATGAATACTTTTATAAACCCCTCTGTATTTATGCTTTAGTTGCCTTAAATTTGTTGAAGGAAAATTTACAAAAAATCACCTGTTCAGATATTTTTTCATAGAGTATGTCTAAACTTTTCCAAGAATGCAACATAAGGAGCCAATCAGGAAGTGGCATTTATTTTTCTTTGGCTGTTTTTCCAAAAGCAGAAATAAGGCAGACTCTAAGTTTAGGTTATGCTTTAGTATTAAAATGTTTTCCACTGTGTGAATTAATGCATATTTGGTGTTTGAACTATTAACATTGGCAGTTATAAGCGTTTCTCCAGTATTTCTTGCCTCTAGCTGCAGATCATCAGTAGAGAATAATAAAATAAGGGGAAAATAGTTTTCTCTTAATGGATGCGGATAATGTTCATACTTCCAGCCAGACTTGAAATGGAGAATATATGGAAATATAGTAATTAAAATACCCTGACATGGGAGCTTTCTGGGCCAGGTTGCTCATTCACACTTGCAAAATGAGCATCTGTTATCGTCCTACTCTAATCTAAAAATAGACGGGATCACTGAAACAATGTAACGCAGCAAATTAACCCCCGTTTATTTCTTTTTTTTTTAATTTCCACACATCGGTGTAACGTAAGTAATGACAGTTTTTCGTCCACAGAGGATCCATAACTTGACTCTCCCTCGCTGGGCCACGCCGGACGTCCTGGAAACGCTGCGGAGGATCGCTTCCTTCGAGGTCACATACAGCATCCTCAGTCACAAGCGCAGAGAGAAGGCCCGGCTCTCTGGAGGTGGGAACTCACTTCGCACTGCAAAACTGTAACTCGGCGAGCCGCATTTAGTTGTGTCAACTGTCTTCTCTTTAAGTCAAATAAATTTAGTGAGTTTTAGACTTTTTATTAATTTTGTCAAATCTCTAAGAGTTGAATAAACAGAGTTTTTAGGTTAACACTTAAAAAACTGAAAGAAGAAAAAGACAGGAGTGGGAACTATTTCCCAGAATGCTTAGCGGCGTGTTTCTGTCTCCTGAGATGGAAGTGTGTTACGTTGATCTGTTCACACTAAATGTTTCTGAGCTGAATTCATTCAGATGTTAAATAAAATTCATCATCAGATCAGAAATTTGGTTCATGTGATTTGAAACAAGAATTAAAATTATTCTACAGTAAAATAAGTCGTTATTTTAACTTAATAAAATAACAGAGAAATGTGGCTCTTTAACTGGGTGAGGACAGTTTGTTTTTCTTGCATTTTGTGAAATAATTATTTGGTTTAAATGCAGCATTAAGTTAAAACTCACAATTCAAGATTAATGAACTTAAAAACAATGTTTAGACAACTTGTCTAATCATTGAAGCAAAAACAATTTTCTTGTTCTTGATTGACTTTCATTTTCAAGTTAAATCACCTTGTAATGTTTTACAGTGTTCTGGCTGTAAATAGGAATATATAAAAATGTCTCACTGAAGTGGACAGAAGTCACATGTGGTGAACCCCGAGGTTCAATCCTAGGATCAGCTTATAACATGAAAGAAGATCAGCTACCATAACTATGCAGATGATGCACAGCTCTACATTATGATGTCACCAGGTGACTCAGAACCATCCAATCACTGAACAGATGCTTAGAACAGATAAATGTGGATGTGCCAAAACTTTCTCCAGCTGAACAGAAACAAAACTGAAGTTTTTATCTTTGGACCTAAAGAGAAGCAATCTAGAGTCAACAACAGCTTCAGTTATTACCTGGGAGTAGTGATGACCTCTGACCTGAACCTTCAGATCCACATAAAGACAGTTACGAAGTCGGCCTTCTCACACCTGAAGAACATTTCCAGGATTAGAGAACTAATGTCCCAAAGACATCCAGATAAACTCCTCCGTGCTTTATCTTTAGTCGCATTCATTACTGCAACAGTTTCTTTTCAGCTCTGAACAAAAAGAATCAATCAGTTCTAATTCTGATCTGCATCAGAACCAGAACCAAGCAGCATTCAGCTTCTGTTAACCACAAATCTGGAACAAACTTGCAGAAAACTGCAAAACTGCTGAAACACTGACTTCCTTTAAATCCAGACTAAATACCCAGCTGGTTAGAGCTGGTTTAGAAACATAATCAATGAAGCAATAATCGATGATCTGATGTGTAATGATGGCAAATAGTGTTTCTGTGACTTTGTGTTTTTATGACGTAAAGCACTTTGAACTGCCGTGTTGCTGAAACGTGCTGTAAAAATAAAATTAGATTTTATCTGCAGCACAGCGAGGAGATAAATATTACAGGGTGTGTGTGTGTGTGTGTGTGTGTGTGTGCGTCCGTGTGTGTGTGTGCGTGCGTGTGTGTGTATGAAGCTGTGTATCCTATGTGGCTGCTGGCCCACGCTTTGTTTTCGCCTCAAACGATGCGAAGTGCAGCGTTGGCTCTGAAGAGTCGCACGGTGAGCTGATGGGACGGAGACGGTGCCGCCAGAGGAAGCGGCTCAACGGGGTCAAGAGGATTCTGATGGTGTCTGCGGAAAACGAACTTGCTCTGTTGACTCTGTGTTAATTTGCCAGGGGTGTTGCTAAACGCCATCCTGAGGAATTTCTCTGACGCCATGGAGCGCAGCAGCGGCGGCGGCACCGCGCTGAAATTCATTATGTACTCAGCTGTAAGTTCAGCGTCTCACATAAACCGGCTATCTGTGTCGCGACGCGCTGCTTCACTTCCCCTCACGTTCTCACTGCTTGCTCTTATCCTAGCATGACTCCACACTCATCACCCTGCAGGCAGCGCTGGACGTCTACGACGGCCTCCTGCCTCCCTACGCTGCCTGTCAACTCTTTGAGTTCTACCAGGAGGATGATGGGTAATGACTTCCTTCCAGTCTGTTCTCCACGCACTCTGCTATTTGCATATTCAAGTGCGGTATCTAGGTCACACACATACACTCACTTATTGCATTCTTCTTTTTAGTTGAATGAACCATTCAAATATATTTTCCTGTTTAAAATCCGATGGAGGCCGGGCGTCCGTCCAGCGCCGCTTTGGCCAAATTAGCACAGAATGCAAAAAGCCCATTTACATAACACTTCCCACAAGTGTGTGTCATCATATTGTGCTCATGCTAATAATCACCCAGATCCTATTCAGTGGAGCTGCATTACCGTAATGAATCGTCGTCCGAGCCCTACCCCAGCCGCGTGCCGGGCTGCGGCGGCCTGAGCCGCTGCCCTTTGACCTCCTTCACCGAGCTGGTGCGCGACGTGATGCCGGACGACTGGGAGGCCGAGTGCGGCATCAGGACCAGGTGGTCCAGCACAGGTAGGGGGAAAAGGCCCTACCTTCATTTCATTTAAAAATCAGATTAAGTCAATATTTTACTGCTGGTCTAGAATAAAAGCTGGTTTGGGTGCAGCAAAGTTGGATTTTTAGTGAAAGTCTCAGTTTTACCTTTTGTTAAAACTTGGTTACAAAAAGAAAAATACTTTGTTTTGTACTTTACTTTTTGCTGTGTAAGAAAATTACATTGGAAACAATTTTTAGCCTGATTACAGATTAAAAGTTTCCATCTGCATTGTGTCAGGTTTTAATTCCAGTTGGGGGCCGCTCAAAGTCAGCCCAAAGGCCACAAATGGCCCCTGGACCACACGTTGGACACCCCTGCACTATTTAAATAAAGGCATAGTCAAAAATTACAGCAACCCTCTTAAAATATTGATGCCTGATCGGTATTGGTATCAGATCGACAGTAGCGCTGTAAAATCAGTATGTTAGTTTCATTCCCTCTTGAAATTTTATTTTCAGTGTTTCTCATAAAAGGTTTTGTTTTGATTTGCTGTAAAATATTTTTTGCACTTTTTATTTAGGAAACATTGCACACAAATATTAATTTTTTCCTGTTTATCATGTTAATTTGTAGTTAAAGTATTTTGTATAATCTTCGTTTGAATTCTGTCCTCCTTTTTAATGGAATAATTAAAAAAACAAACAAACAAAAAAACATTAAAAGATCAGAAGGTTGATGATGGAGCCTGAGCTGCTTCACTTCATAACTCTGCTTCGTTTTGGACTATTTCTTAAAATCATGAAAACACAAACACATTTTGGTTTAATGTGACAAAATTCAAGGAGTATGAATACATTTATATATTTTAACAAAAACGTATAAACGCCTAAAAATGATCTGTTGTTTCCTGCAGGTATCATTACAGCTCTTGCAGTGGCGGTGGGCCTCCTGGGAGTGGCGCTGTTGTGCAGCATAGCGGTGGCTGTCCACCAGCGGACAGCGGCCTACTCCAGGGACCTGTAGAGCAGGAAACCTGCAGATGTGCCAAAAATAAGAAAAACTACCAAGTATTTAACCAGCTTGGGACGAGTTCAGGAGTTTGTTTTCTCATTCTAAGATTATTGTGTCTGAATATTAATGTGACTAAAATAATTTACGATGCATTTGAGAAATGTAAACAGAAATCAGATGTAAGGGGAAATCTGTGGAGCAGATCAATAAACTTTATTTCAATCACTGGTAATAACTGGTATCCTTCATAGAGACATTCACTCTTCATTTGCAGCTTGGTTCGCATGATTTCACGTTCTCTGCTGTTTGGCTCCTCATTTGTTCTCCGGCTCTATGGCAACTGTGGAGCAGAAAGACTTCGGTTAGAATCAAACGCTGGAAAGTTATAAAAAGATGAAGAACAGGTTGATAAAAAGAAACAGTTTCAGGTAGTTTTCCTCAAATGTTTCAGCAGATTTCTGCATAATACATGGTGCTAAATAAATACAGTACTACACTAAATGCTAATGCAGGTCAATGAAGCAAATCAACTGTAAGATCTAAAAAAAATGCATAAAATGTGTCTGACTGGCCATATTTGTAAATAAAAGGAACAACTGGAAAACCTTCACTAGTGTAAAACTACTTAAATCTTTTTTTAATAACCCAGAGGTATTTACTGTGGTTTGAAAAATGAAGAGCTGTTTGTGTGGCAAACTGAGCCAGCATTAAATCCACAAACGGTTTGCCATAAGCACATTATTCTATAATCTTTGAGCTTGCTGCTGTTTGTTGTTCTGCATGCCACGGTTGCATTGGTTTGGTGTGGACTGCTTTAGCTAGCAGCTCAATATAAAAGGATTAAAAACATGTTCCTGTCACTTTCCAAGTGAAATTGTTGATCACTGGTTGCTTGTTTTAAGTCACAAGGTTTCCTTTTAAATATATTTACAAAACTGAAGCCAAGAATGTATGTGACAAACAACTTTTCCACCGTTTTTCGGCCATCTTTGCCCTCACCTCGGACGTCCAGCTTGCACTCCACCTCATCCTGGCCCAGGTCGTTGACCGCCATGCAGACGTATTTGCCTGCGTCGAACGTGCTCGGCTTGCGGATGTTGAGCGTCAGAACTCCCTGGTTGTTCTGCATCAGAAACTTGGGATCCTCTCCAAGGATCATTCTGTTCTTCATCCAGACGATCTTAGGCTGAGAGGTGCAGAATGCAGAGATGCAGTGAATTGGCTCTGTGAAGACTTTAAAACAACCGCAAACATCTGTGTATTTTACTTGGATGTCACCTGGTTAAAAGAACTGGGGGATGAAAAGCACATAGAACGTGGTTTTCAAACTTTTTAGACAAAATCAAAGTCTGGAAAATGTAGTGTGGCTTTATGTTGAGTCGCTTAAGTCGACACTTTGTACAAAAACCTTTTACTGCAAGTACTGATGCAGAACTATTAGGCTTCATGCCCCCAGAGCCTGACATGTTTTCCCATCCATCTTTCCAGAATGGATCAAACCCAATTTCTTAGTTTTCGTGTCCTTTCCAGTGTTTGTTCAATGAGAGTTTCACTAAATTTGAAAATATAATTAAATGCAGTTACTGAGAGCAGTTTAGTGACGCAAATCAAACTGGACATGTGTTTGTGGAGCAAATATTTGTGTTTTTTTTAATTCAATAATTTCCTTAAACTCTGCTTCAAGACCGCACAGCATTCTGGGGGATGTAGGCTCCACCCCTTTTAGCTAGCAAAGCAGAGTGAGTGGGATCAACTAACTCACTCGCTCCTTGGTTGCCTAGCAACAACCTGTTGAGTAAATCGCGCAGCAGCAGTTTCAGGTTTTGTCACAACTGCTTAAAAATGAAAAACAACGACGTGGAGCGAAAGGAGAAAACGGTTGGAAACGGATGAAACAGGAAAATCAGTCTGGCCATAAAATCAAATATTTTAAATTTTGTGGCTGTAATGAGACAAAATATAATATTTTTGCAAGCTTACTACAGCAGGCTGGTTTACCTTGGGAAAGCCTCTCACAGAGCAGCTGAGGGCGGTGCTGTAGCCAGCGACAACCGACCGGTCCACCAGCGGCTGGGTGAACTTAGGAGCACAGGCCATGTCCTTCTCCTTATAGGCCGCCTGCTTGAGCTCCAGACCTGGAGAGACCAGAGAACCCAGTTGGTTCTGCAGCTCACACACACCCTCACACACAGCATCACAGCCTCACACACACACACAGCCTCACACACAGCCTCACACACACACACAGCCTCACACACAGCATCACACACACACACAGCCTCACACACACAGCCTCACACACACACACACCCACACACACAGCCTCACACACAGACTCACACACAGCATCACACACACACACAGCCTCACACACACACACAGCCTCACACACACACACAGCCTCACACACAGCATCACACACACACACACAGCCTCACACACACAGCCTCACACACACACACAGCCACACACACACCCTCA